TGCTTCTAACAGTAAGTTGAATTTCTTGTTTAATATATATGTATCTCCTTATTATACTATATTGATTGCCGATCCATGTTTTGTTTTTTTTTTGTTGATGAGTCACGATATACAGCACAGTCTTTTTCTTGAGTACATAGTTGACAGTGTTAGATAAACAACATTATTAGGAAGTAAAAGCAAAATATGAATTAAAAGAAACGATGAATTTAAGATATGTTAAATAATGTCATCATATATATTATTAAATAATTAAATTACCTTCATATAAATAAATTTATTTATTATATTTAAACTATAATTACAGTTGAATATTAATTTAAGATTTATTTATTTATTTATTTATTATTTAAAAACGCTTTGGAGAAATTATTTCTCCATGGTAGGTTCAATAACTTTATATTAAAATTAAAAGTATAGATCTACACCTATATAATACACATCTATCTATTCTCCTTAAGTAGCTTCTTTTTTTCTAATAGCACAGAGAAATGACAAGACTAATGCTCAACAAGTAAACTTATGTGTTTGTTCTTTTGTGATACTTTTAGAAGAAGTACAAAGGAAGCAGAAAAATGGTTAGATACATATTCTACCTAGGGGATATATATTTAATTTTAATATAAAATGAATATGAACAGACAGAAGAGAATGAAATTCTTCGACAAGTTTTCATATTATAAATAAGTAAATATTAATTTAACATTCAATAGTAATTATAATCGATTTATTGATTAATAGAAAATGAACTTAATGATAAAAATTAAATGAAATCAATTTAGTATATGAAATTTCTCTAAAAAAAGTATGTTTCATATATTTCGACTATTTTTATTTATAGTCAATCTTTGCCACTTTCAATGGTGGAGAAATACTGAATATATAGTTATATTTCCAGAGTGAAATCTACGCTATCAATCAAAAAAACGAATCGGATTGAATTCTTATAAATCCAACGAGAGAACTATATCAATAAACATTTTGTTAAAGGCATTTTTTTATTTCTTATTTATCAGATGTAAAACAAAAATAGAAGCCTCTTATTTGTTCACTTGCTGCGAGCCATTTCTATCGTTTTACTCTTCTTATGCGCTCTACAGATGAGAGAAAATTTTTGGTGGCGTGTATATTCAAAAGGTGTGAGAATTGTTACCGATGAAAATAATGTCCAAATTCACATCCACATTCTACACCTCTGAAGTATACACGATAGTCAAAATTTTCTTTTAGCTGAAAGGTGTATAATAAGTGCAGAACGATAGATATGACTTACAGCGAGTGAACAGATAGCTGATATTTTTTTGTGTTTCATAGGGAAGAAAAAAGGATGACTTTGGCAAAATTTTTATCGATATATTTCTTTCGTATCATTTACGTAAATTCAATCGAATTGTTTTGATTCATATCATAGATGTTACTATTGAAATATTTATATTTTCAGTATCTCTACACCATTGAATACGGCAAAGATAGAAAAAAAAAAGTGAGATCGAAACTTATGAACTATTCTTACGATTTCATGGTAAAATTATTTGATAAAAGTGTTTTTCACTTAAATACGATTTTATCAGATGCAGAAAGAGTATTTTGAAGTTAGATTCAGAGAAAAAAAAATCAACAAGGAACTTGAAAATGACCAGATGAAATATTTGTCGAGACATGCAACATAAAAAATAAAATAGAAAGTCAAAGGAAAAAAACGAATAAGGAATTAAATCATCAAACATACCCAATTTTAATAAATTAAATAGAGTACTTTTAATCATCAGATGATTTGTACAAAAATTAAAAAGATTTTTCGTCGAGTAGGAATCGTAGCAAAAATATTTTTTATATTCAGTTAAAATATGTTTATAATGAAATTTATCAGTAATCATAAACATCAATTATGACGTGTTTTTATTGCCAAATTTCAAGATTTGATGAAGTACGAGTATAATGATGCAGCAATAAAGGGATTATAAAAAGAAAAAAAAAGGTTCTTTTTATTACAAAAGTGGTAAAAATTGTTATGTTCATCAGTTGTTGTATTTTTCCAGACATGAATTTTTTTTTAATGGGGAAGTGTATGATTTATTTCCAATATGAATATAAATCATTCATATGAAATGTACTAGAAAATTTCGTAGGATTCTATTGGATTTCATTTGTCAATGTAAGAAATATATTTACACATTTTTCGAACATGACTGTGTGATTAAAAACAGATTTTGTAGCAAAGGTGTCGCATTTCAAATACTTTTACAAGTAATTGATATTTCCGAGTAAGTTACAACTGAATTACATATAACAGAAGACAGGCTATTTACGTCACATTATTGATGATTTCATCAGAAGTCTTTTCATGGCTTTCTCTTGACTATTCACATTATCCTGTGTTATTTTCTCAGTTGTTCAAGTTGGATTAATAATCGTTAACATAAACAGTCCATCCCAGATCAAGAAATACGTTCTATGTTCGGCCATAAAACTCAGAAAAGTAGTAGGAACTTGAAAGGAACAATACGGTGATCGGATCCAATGGCCGACTCTCATCGGTTACGAGTAACTAGAAAAATTCAGTCACCGAATTCGATCACTTGGTTCCTACGTTGAAGTTCTTAGAATATTTCCGCGTTTTCGGCTGGAAGTGGCATCTTTCCGGTGGGAATCTGCTATAGTCAACAGATAAACTAACCGTTTATCGCTGCTAAATATGAAGTTTTTGGATTATAAGAAAACTTATTGCTACTATGATAAGTGGAAGTCGAAGTATCGACAAGTGGGGCACTCCTACTGAAGACTTACACCCACAGCCATACTCAAAGAATTTTTTTGTGTAAATAAATCGATGAAAGATTATCTTATAGAAGTTGAGTGGAATTATGTTTTTCCTTTGATTTTTCGAAATGGTCACTGTTCTCTAAAAAAGTATTTTTTCATTGTTTCTCTATTAACTATTAGTTTTTTAGGAAAATACCAACCAGTTGAACTTAGAATTTTTAAAACTTCGAGGAAAAATGGACAAAAAGAGCCCAAATAAAGATGTCTCAATATTTTGGTCAGTCGCACAAGCTGAAAGGCTATTGTGTTACCTATGTTATGTCGTGATCTTCCCACCAATGCAACTCATTTGCTGCGGAATACGTATTTGTGAGGCTTGTGGAAAATCAAAGTAACATCGTCTGCTTATTCATCTTATTAAATGTGATAAAAATTTCTATTTGTAGACTTCAAAATTTATCTCAATGCCCATTCTGTGCGGAGTCAGGGATACCTGAGGTAAAATAAAATCAAAACTTGTTTTATTTTATATAATATTTTAAAATTAAATATTCAGGCCAAATATGATAAAGGTTTCAGGCGGGAACTTGAATGCCTATCAATAAACTGTCCTAGATGCAATGACCAATGGTTTGGACTTTTCACAGACTTGATAGTAAAGCTTTTCATATGCATTATTTTTGTTTAAAAAAAAAGATTCTTAAAATTTTAGATCCATCTTAACACACATTGTGACCTTGGGTGTCACAATTGTGACGAAAAATTTGTTTTTCCTCAACAACTTGAGAAGCATCTAGTAGAAAACTGCAAAAGACGAATTGTCTCTTGTTCGCTCGATTTTCTTGGATGCTCGAAAGAGGTATTTATTACTTTACTAGATTATTCTATAGAATTTTCTATCTAATAAAATTTAATTTTATATTTAAGGTTTCTTAATTTCCAAGCATTGACTTTATTTTTAAAATATTATTTTTTCATTTTTTTTCGTTTAATTCATTGAAGATTAAAAAATCTGTATTTATATATAATGTGTTTATTTACTTATAGGTAATATATGATGAAATATATCAGCATTACTTAAGTCATCAACATCAGCAGTGTCTTATATGGTTTATCAAAAAATTATTTCCAAAAGCTTCTCAGAGACAAGCGAAGTCAGTTTTACAACCATTTATTGACGAACAGTATACACATATGCTGACAGCTTCCATAGAAAGAATTGATTTAATAGCTCAAGATATAGAACCAATAATTCAAAATTGCGCTAACCTTACTTCCGAACGACAAAAACATGAAACAAAAATTGCCGAGATTCGTGCACAATCTGTAAAGATCAAAGAATCGTCTGATAAAAACGCAAAAATTACAGAAAATTGCTATCAACAATTTGTTGATATGGATAAACTTCTTGATGGCATTAACTTAAAGTCAATCACAGGTCCATGGCTATTGTCATCAGATAATACATATACATACAAATTTAATCTTCATTCATTAATTAATAATGGCCAAACAGTACAATCTGAACCGGTTCACACATCACAAAGCGGATACAAATTGGCACTTATTTATGGAGTATTTCTTGATGAAAAAAGTCAAAAACGTTATCTATCTATTTCGTTTATAATTCTTCCTGGAGAATTTGATGCCATTTTATCTTGGCCATTTCGATTTCCAATCACAATCAGTATACTTAATTTGAAAGAAACAAAAAAAAATATTAATCATTCAATCCCATGGAACTTTCAAACAGTGGCATTTAATAAACTTATAAACAATACAAATGTTCCGTTTCAAATATCACAGTTTTGTCTCGTTGATACACTTCTCGACAATACCAACACTTATGTACAAGATGGTTTGATCTTTGTAAAAATTCATATTGATTTTATGGAACCATCTGCGAATCCAACTCCAAATAAAGAAGGGTTAAGAACAATACAAGATCCTATCCAGACTAATATTTTACAAAATATGCTGACCAATTGAAGATAACGTCTCATAGGGTGGGAAGTTCAAAGCTCGATTGACAAAATCGTGAAAATGTAAATTTTTGAAATCGAATAACTCGAAAAAAATAATAATAAATGCGGAAACTTCGGATTTAAATCCGAGAGTTATGTGTACTTCAAAAAGTGAATCATAAAAATCAATAATCCTAGACTGTCGGAATATCAAAATTATACTGTGAAATCTACCTTTTAAAATGTTGATTTATATTGCGCTTTGCCAAACCAATAGGACATGGGAGACGAATACAGCTCAAGTTTGAACTCTGCATCTTGATTTACCCTAAGAAAGTCGTTTTTCCTATAACTTCATTTCTATTAGTCACTGCACAACTAATAGTATTTCGATGGAAGTGCGCCACACATTCGAGTTCTCCATATCTGAAAACCTCGAAGTATCATCAGTGTGACCGGAAGATAAAGCTCTATTTGTGGATCAATTAGATCGTGGACCAAAATATAAGCTAGTTCTCTTTAATTATCTTTGTGATAGGTTAGTCAAC